AAAAAAGAAAACCCAGCATTCAAAAACACCAAACAAGATGATCCATGCAAGATGTGTAGTCTGCTTACATGAAATGCACAGAGTATTTGTGATAAGCCAAACCAGCTACAGTACTGAAATAAAAAACCAGGCAGTGACAGGCAGCTGAAAGGGCATCACAGCCCAGATTTGCTGTGCTGCAAGAACACTTTTCCTGCCATCTCTCCCATCTCTGGGTGAAGTTTAAAGCCAACAGATGAATAATTTAATGTTTGGAGTTTCAGTGATTCTTATCAAAGGGAGAGACCAGGTAAACACATTCCTGTACAAGCCAGCTGTGGGTTTCCTGGAAAATCTTCAAAATCTCTGAAGGCAGAAAATGCTGCAGAGACAGGAGACTCAAAAGCTGAAGTGAGACAGCTCTGTGACCACAGAGTACAGCAAAGCATAATAAAAACTCAGCCAGGATGGGAACATTCATTTTCAAGGATGGGACAACTAAGAGAGGAGGTGGAATGTCCCACCACAAATGAAGAATATTTCCAGAGATGAGATGGGGATTTTCCAGAGAAGATGGGGATTTTCAAGGCAACAACAGTTTGAAGCAGAAAGTGTTTGTCTTCTGAAGGCTGTAACAGCACATGATCTGCCAAGGCCACTCATCCCATCCATTTACCTCCAAAGACACTACTGACCACAACAATCATACACAAATAGTCTAATCAAAAGTTGGCTGATTTTGGCCAGCTAGAGTATAGCAAGAAGCTGCCCTGTTGTGCCATAAAACACAGTAAGACAAAAGCAGCTCTCTTTTCACCTTACAGGTGAGGTGGCATTGGTGGTCTGAAGGTACAGGAGGTCACAGAAGCTCCAACAACTGAAAGGTCTCAAATCCTTGCCTGGCCTTCAAGACCACCCTTCTGAGTGAGCCTTGAGGAGTGCAGTGTCCCAGGCAGGGCAGGACTGGGCATCACCCTGCAGCTGCTGCAGCAAAAGGATTGCTGAGGAGAAGGGTTACAATTGGGTTTACCAGGCTGGGGACAACCATGCAGGCAGCAGAGAACCAGAGATTAGGCTCCCATTGACACCCCAAGGTAGGGACTTTGTCCTTTCCTTTAGACAGACAAATGGCACATGAGTTTGAAGCATTCAGCCAGGCTGCTGCAGAGCTGCCCGTGCACCAGGAGTGTGACACAGCAAGGGCACAGCCTGTGGCACACAGGAGCTGAAGCCTTCACTGCACAAATGGAGAGAGCTCAAGAACAGATCTGCTGAGGGAAATCCTCCAGCCAAGACTGCTCCAGAGCAACTCAGCACCCAAGCTAAATTAAGAGCCTGGGGCAGAGGGCAGGAACAGAGCAGCTCATCCCAGCCCAGCCCAGCCAAGATGGTGACAGTCCTGCTGAAGCAGTTTCCCAGGAGCAAGTGAATGGACAGCAAGGACATCCCACAGCCAGGGCTGCAAGGCTGGGATCTCACAGATCCTCCTCTGCCAAAGGCTTGACTCTGAGCTGCAGTTTGTGCAGTAAGGGAAAGAAACCCAACAGGAATGAATGGGAGACAGGAAAAGGATTAAATCCTGTCTGGCCCCAGCAATGTCTGCTCGAAAGCAGAGTCTCTGTAGCAGAGAGCCCCTCTCAGCTGTCACCATGAGGCTGAGAGATGCCTTTTTCCTTGGCTGACATCCCTTTTGCTAGTGAGCAGCCTGATAAGGGGTGCTGGCAGAGTGAAAGCTCTCCCAGATATGGCTGACTCCTGTAAACAAGGAGATGAAAACAGTTTGTTTCAAATCACAGCTGGGAGAAACACTATAAAGGAAAATGGTGCCAATGGCTTGCTGACACATTGCATTGCTTACAGCCACACAGAACACTCTGTGCCCTTCAATTCAAGCTCAGGCACCACAAACCTCCCTGGAAAAGAACAAGAGAAAGCCAAAAGACATTTCAAATTTACTTCTTTAGCAAAAGAAAAGTATATATATTTATATTACCTGAACAACTGCAGGGATGTAGAGAACAAGAACATTTTTAGCCACTACCAGACCTGGAACAAGCCTGACCTTGCTGAAGCCAGAATTCCAGAAATCCCAAAAAGAGAGACTGATACAGACAAGGTAAGGAGGAAACAGAAACAAGTAGGGCAGCCAGGTTGAGTTTTGTGCTCTGTTCATCTTCAGCAAGGATTTTCAGAGACCTGTCAAAGGAAGCTGTTCAGGTTGGTGGCTGATAAACTCTCACAAGCCCCTTCAAAGCCAGTTTCTCAACAGGAAAGGCACTACACTGCCTTGTGACTTTGGGAACTATCCTTTCTATATTTCTATCCATTATGCATGAGGAGTTTTCATCTCAAAACAGGAGATGGGGTTTACCTGAATTAGGAGCAAGATTGATGTTTCCTAAAAAGACAATACTCATTTTGACGCGAGAGGAGGAAAAAGGTTTTTAACAAAAAAAGAAAAAAAAAAAGTCGTTTTAGAACTTCAGCTTGACTCCAAGAAAAAAAAGAAAGCCATTTCAAGCATCCCTATGGGCTGGGAACAAAGCAGTGCTAGGCTGCTGTGTGCTCAGAAAACATCATCTCTGTCACACAACCTGGCTCAGGGTGCCAGACATTGCCCACAGCAGTCACACTCACAAGAGTCATCATTTTCAGCAGCGGTTCTCATTCTCTTACCAAAGTCAGGTGCATTACTGAAAACAAACAACCACTTAGAGAAGATGTCTTGGCTGGGGATAACATCCAACAGCCCATTCAACTCTCAGATCTCAGATCCCACCTTTGCTGTTACTCTTTCTTGGGGGTCTCCTTTCAGATGGTGGCAATTATCAAGGACCTGTTTTACCTCTGATGATAAGTGGATGAGTTCCAGCATTTTGTCCACATCTGAGAGATCCTTGGGAAAGAGGTGCAGGGTCTTTCTCTACTTTATGCAAGAATGTCATGCAATATGTGCCTAGAGGCATACAGGCATTTCCCTGGAAGGATTCCATCCTCTTGTCCTGCATTTCCTCCCAGCCCAAAGGGAACAGAGCATTGATGTCCTCCCATCTCTTCAGGAAGGTTTCTCCATAGTGATCATTTTCCAAAAATGCAGCTCCTGTTAGCTGAGCTTTCACCAGCTGAGATCTTGAATATTTAATAACCCCAGCTTCTTTCCATGATATTTTCACACAGAAAGAAAAATTGAGATGTCTTCTGCTGTTCTGCATTGTCTCCAAACAATTGGACTCATCAGGCAAACAAACCAAACTACATTTGAAACTGAAAATGTTCCATGAACAATGTCACAACAGCACACACTACTCCTAAAGTCTCTGGGTTAATGTAAGAATCAATGGCATCAATCAACTGCAGGGGCCCACAAAAGGAATTTTTACTAATAGCAAGATCAAATGTTTGGTTCTTATGAAATTCCAGTTGTGTTAAAAACGAAAAATAACTAAGATTTTTGTCTAAGTTTAGGAGACAAGGTGAAAGCTCACAAGTTTCTAATGACAATTATGTGCCTAAAAAGCCTGGGAAATTAAAAAGCTTCAACAGAAGTTTGGCCATGACAGTGTAAAATATGAAGTGTTTCAACCACAGCCTTGCATAAAGACAAAAGAGACACCAAAGCAGATATATTACAAGTGAAAAAACTGAGACTGACCACTGGCCAAGTGGAAACTGGAGAACCAACAATGGGAACAGCCCCATGCAAGATGTGAGTTCTAGATGAAGTGTCACAAGAACAGGGAGGTGGGGCTCAGCCTGCAGTCACCTTCTGGCCAGGTTATCAACTACAGGGGGACCTCAACCACTGCCCTGTGGGTGAATTGGTAACAATAACAATAAAATGACTGAGTTCTGTGAGCTAAGTTATGCCTTGTCTATTTGGGAAATTGTTTTAGAAGCTAGGTGCAAGTTTACAGCACAATGGCTTTTTTGCCCCAATTCCCAGCTGGGTGGGTAACACTATTCTGCTCTGAGAATGCCTTTCAGAGAAGGCAAAGCACAACAATGCAGACATTTTACTGAAAGGTGGTAGCTGGGGACAGCTATTTCACACTATTTTTTCCCTTTCTACATGTAGGCTCCAAGACTATAAATGATCAAAAGGCAAAGCAGGCTCAAGGCAAGTTTTTGACACGTAGCTGTTTTTAAGCTTTGTTTCTTGTCTGAGGAGAGAACATTCTGTTTTGAGGTGTCTTTAAAGGATACTGAAATCCAGGAAGTCTAAAGAAATTCCACCCCAAAAGATACAGGGCACATTACCTTTGTCCCCCATTGCCTGTAAGGGATTTGATCACAGCTTTCCAGTGTATGGGATCAATATTTCCACTACAGCCCTGAGTGTGGGGACTGATACCAACAAGTCCCACAGGACCACTGACCCAGCACCCCTGCTCACCTGTCCACTCACTCTGAACATTTGTCTGCTTTCATGCCTGAGCAGCAGCAGCCTCCTGTGTGGAGAAGCACAAAGTGGCACTACAGCCTGAGCTAAACTGTTTCACATAACTTGTCCTAATTCTGATGTCTTTGAATTGAACTATCTGTCCCCAGGCTGAATTTGTTCCCCTTTTGTAAATGAAACTGATGTTGTCACATAACTTCTATAATAGAAGTTGCTTAATGAAAGAAAAGAACTTTATGTTTCAAGCATCTTGTGTAAGATTATATCACCCAAATAAATAGGAGAATGTATATTATGGGGGTTCATGTAAACATTCCTATATAAAAGATGTAATGTTTTACACCTCAGTGTTCTTGATTTGTGGGAACCTCCACTTTGCACAGAATAAACAATGTCTCCTTTCTAAGTTAGACCTGTCTGTGTTTAGGGAGCTCCTAGAACTGGAAGCAATGCTACACTTACCTTCACCTGTGATTTTCCTACAGTTATCACCAGTGGTGCTCCTCAGGCACAGCCCCCCAAAGCAGGACATCCCACCTGACCCTCTCTGCAGCCCTCACCAGCCCCCAGCCCAAGGGGAAGGACAGCAGGGTTGGGCAGTATGAGACATGAAGATTTTTACCTGACTAAGTTGGCACAAGGTCCCGGCCAGCGGCAGCTCTGATAAACTCTCTGGATCACCGTTTCTGACCCGTTCTGCACCTGGCAGGAGACTGTCCTTGTGACTGTGTAGTGGCACCAGTGCCTGCAAAGAGAGAGGACACACGTTAGTGAGACAACCAGGGAACCAACACACCCCAGACTGCAGGCAAACAGACCAAGAATCTGAGGTGGGGTGGTTTCTTCTGCCAGCCATAGCCAGGCTGACTTGCAGCCTTCACTTCTCACCCCACCCTCTCCTTCCAAGAGCTGCGGAAAGATTCCCAGCTCCTGCCAACCTGAACCACAGATCCAGCAATGCCTCTTGCTTGGTTGTCAGAGGCCAGAGTTTTACAGTGCATAATTTAGTTCTGTGACTTATCAGAAACAATAGGACTTGGGGAAAATAAAGACATGTTCCAAATCTCCTGATAGTCAGCTCCCATTGTACTGGTCTTAATTCCACCCTGTTTGTTATGGTATCATTCCCCAGCCTCCCACCATTCTGAACAACAACAGAGTAGGAAAATTCTGCTTTTTGGTGTGGTGGAGTTCTCTGTCAGCAGGGCTTGAATGAGCTGGGTGCTGAACAAGTTCTGTTGTTGTCCTGCTGAGGTTACTGCCTAAAAATGGGCAAGGGAAAATGCAGGCAGGGAGGGATGAGCGTCTCACACTGTCTCAAAAGAGAGACAGACCCCTCACTGCAAGGTGTATGAGACAGAAGGAACTGCAGTGTGAGCACAGGGAATTCAGACCTAAAGATCCTCCAGGGACCTTCTCTGAAAAAAAAAAAGTTTTAGTTTCCAAGAACGTGCTTGAGGGGACACAAAAAATTTCCCCCTTGCAAGTATTGCTCATTTTGCCAAATACTGGTTCACTTCTTTGTGAATATTTTGGTGGGGAATGTTTTGTGATGCTTTTGTACATCAGTGTAGTTAACAGGTTTGAGAGTCATTTTCCTATTGACTGGGGATCAGAACTGGGGTCACTGTGGGACACAGAGACACCAACTTGTGCTCCAAAACACACCCAGTGCTTGTGTAAGCATTCCCTGCTGAACCAGAGCCAGACTCCTGGCTCCTCATCTATCTTAAAGCAAGAGCCCTCAACAGAGCACCACAGTGACTCTCCAACCTTGCACACCAAAAATCAAAGTGGAAATGCACCTGCACATCCCCTTCTCCTTCCCTAAACCACCTCCTGTCTGTCAGTTTTCCCAGAACACACCATTTACAGCATTTGTTGCTCTTTTTTCCCCCCTTTTTGCATTCCCCTCCCATCTCCACAGGAATCCCTGCTCTCTGGATAGCTCCCATTTCCATGAATAGGAGGCACAGATGCCAGCACCACATGGGGCCAGCGGGCTGCTCGCTGACCCTTGGGCTACAGCCGGCCAGGAGGGCTGGGACACCCAGGGAGGGGTGGCTCTGTGCCACTGCCACCAGCCCAGAGCAGGGACAGGGCTCAGCTTGCAGCTCTCCCTGAGACACTGCCTCTGCTCACCAGAAACCCCCCTGGATTTCCAGCAGGGAGTGGGCACTGTGGGCACACCTGAGGGGACCCCAGGTGGGCAGGGAAGTCTTTCAGAGCCACTTATCTCAGATTTGTCAGGGATCTGTGGTGTATGAACAGGGATCAGGACTGTGGGCACACCTGAGGTGACCCCAGGTGGGCAGGGAGATCTTTCAGAGCCACTTATCTCAGATTTGTCAGGGATCTGTGGTCTGTAAATGGGGATCAGGTCTGTGGGCACAGCTGAGGGGGCCCCAGGTGAGCACAGAGATCAAATGTGAGCACTCATTTCTCCAACTTCTCTCTTTACCAACTGAAGAGAGGGTTTGGTTACAAAGGTATTCACAAAGGTACATCACACTCTTGGCTTCCCATAAATAGCATATTTTCCTACAAATACAAATTTTAGGGATTTTTACTGTGGCACACAGGCAGGTGAGGCAAAAACAGGAACACAGATGGGCAAGGATACATTAGGACATCCAGCTTGGCACTCAGTGCAGATAAAATAGCACAGTGATTACAACAGAAAGACAGACAGACAAAACCATCCCAAGACTTCCCTTTGCAAGCCAAAAGTCAGCAAGAACAGCCTCCAGAATGCAAGCAGGCTTCAGACAATGTGATGAAAGGCCCCATCATGGCTTACAGAGATTATAAATGACCCTTTATATTATACACAGATGCTACGAAGGAAGGTTTAGGACTTTCACTGGCATGCATCCAGGATGGCAGAGAATATAGAGCTGCTTATTCAGAAAGAATATTCCAACCAAGCAAACAAAATTATCCAAACAGCAGCTCCTTTAGGATCTCATGCATGCTCATCACCAGAATATTTAGTGTGATGTTCTGCAGCATCCCAAGGAACTGGTCCTTGCTCAGAGAGAGAAGAGTTTCACTTGGTCCATTTCCTCCAGCTGTTTCCAAACACCACCTCCTCTCACACCCTATTTAATTCTTGGAAGACTTTCACAGACAACAGAGGATCTGCACATCATGGCCTGCAAGCTGCTGACTTAGACAGTTTCCTTCTGGGGCTACAGACCCAGATCTCACGTCTTGATCCCAGCTGACAATGTGTTTTTCCAGAGGGAATGGGGGTGTTGATGCCAGCAGATATCTAATCACATTTACTGTGTGGGTTCAGGATGTTGCTGTGGACCCTTCAGGCTAAATGGAACAACAAAATCAATAGTTGGCTTCCATTTGGAGATACTCTGCAAACTCCTGCTTGGAGCTTGAACAGGTGCTGAGGGGTGCCTGCTCTCTGCTGACTCAGCAAAGCAGTGATGGCTTTGGGCACCTGGACACTGGAGGACAAGAAATCCTCCCCTTCCAGAGCACATGGAAAACAGCCTGAGAGCATCTCACAGGCTTACTCAGAAAGCTGGAGGTGCAGTTTGCTTCCATAGGCAAAGCCATACCTGCACCCCACTGACTTTCTGAAACTCCCACACCCCTCAACAGAAGTTTATTTGGACTCACAGTTCACCCCTGGAGATTCTGGGTGTTTTTACACCCTGTCATCCAACAGTGAAAGAGAAAAGGGACTGCAGAGGGTAGAGAAGTGTAAGGTAACATAGAACCCAGCTAAAGTACTGTAGCTTCCAGAAGAGCCACACACTCACATATCAAAGCTTAATTCCTGGATAGCATAGTGAGAGCAATCATTTCATGGATGGGAAGACACTGACAGGAAACTTCATCTTCCCTCCATTCTCACTACTGGGATCTGCACAGTGTTCCCTAAGCCCTCAGGGTGCATAAGGGATGTCTCCATCCATCCATCCATCCATCCATCCATCCATCCATCCATCCATCCATCCGAGCACTCACACCACAACACACAGAGCCATCCCCAAAAGCAGTGTTTGCTTCTTTCCTAGTCCAAACTGCTCACTTTTCCCAAGCTTCTCTTTGTCCTGGGGGGTCCCTGGAGGACATTCCAGGTGGTTCATAAGAGAAAAGCCCCCTGCCTGTTATCTGGCTGCATTTCACTGGAGAAGGGATGACAAAGTGAGCAGTGTCAGAACCACCGGGCTGACCTGATCAGGACCCAGCAAGGGCTGGTGAATCAGGACTGTGCAGCTCAGGAATGGAAGAGGCTGCATTCCTGCCTAACCACATCTTTCAGAAGGGTGACAGTTCTGCTGCCTGCCTGGCTAGGGACAGACCTACAGCAGGCACCACCTCCCCCACAGGAGCCGATGCTCTCACTGGGCTGAAGGACACAGCTCCAGCTCCTGAAATCCGTGGTCTCCCAGCTCACCACGGTCCCAACAGCTCAGAAGTTCTTCCAGCAGAAACAATCCCCCCAGCTGGGCTCTGCACAAAGCCTGTTGTAGAACTCACTGAAATGGAGATTTGGTGTGGCTTTGGTAAAGAGTTAACTGGACAAGGCAGAAGGAAGAGAATTCTTTCTGAGAGTGGCAGAACATTTAATATACAGGATGGTTTCATCAGCACCTGCTCCATGTGTTTGGGCACAAACTGATCCTCCCCACTCAATAAATATGACAGAAGTCTCTCAGAAAGGTTGGCATTTCTGATGCTTGTGATTTGCCCTAAAGCTTTGTCCTGTGTAAACAACTGCACTGAATTATCTTTTTGTTTCCATAAGGATAACACACTGTGTGTTATACTTAGCAGAGATCAACATTTAGGGCACAGAAAACAGTAGGAGTGTTTTGATAGCTAGGTAGATTTCCCCAAGTTTCCTCATAACATTTTTCACTGGAGCTATCAATTTCCCTGCAATCCTAGCGAGGAATTTCAATAAAATCAGAAGGTCACTGACTTTCACTGGGAAAAAGTTGCTGTTCTGACTCAATGAAAGCAAACTGTGCCCTTTTCTCTGTGTAAATAGTACAGCATCCATTTGCTCTGCCAGAACAGCAATCCATACACTCTGTGCTGCAGCCCAGCATTAGGAGGGGTTAGTTATTTACATATTCCCTTGAGCCAGGAGCACAAGTTGCCCTCTACATTCTAAGAAATCCAAATTCAAAGGCTGCCAGGCTGTCTGGGTTATCTCTTCCTGAACCATCCACTTCTATAAAATTACATTATTCCTTTCTTACTCACAAATACACACCTCCCTGAATGTGCTTTGACTCTCATCAGGATCAAGTTTAGCAGCTAATTCAGTTGGCTGGGACCAGGTCACTCTTTACTGCTGTGACCTGGCTGAAGAGGAAACTATCCCATCACATGTTACTGGAAAGCTCAGATAAAAGCCAAGTTAGGCTTAAGTTTCCCCTGTTCTTGGCTGTATTCATGCTCTCCCCAGGTAACCAGGTTTTAGGATCAAGGCTGTCATCCAGCTCATTGTCCAGCTACAAAATTCAATTGTAACCAGCAGTCTCCACATTATTGGAACATTCAGTGGTGATGGATTGATTCAGGATTGCCTATAGATAGATGGACCTTTCCTAAGGAACCCATGAAAGACCACCTGGCAGGGGTGAGGGGCTGGCTGTACACAAGCTTATCAAGGCAGGGTTCAGTTCAAAGCAGATTCTGCTCCTCCATTACAAAGTTTTAAGAGGCCTGCAAGTCAGAAGCCACAACAAGCCACAGTAATCTTGCTGT